TCAGTTACTGTAGAATACTTTATTTTCGCTTGGAATTTATTTTCGCTATTTTCGCTGAAGGGATGATTCCATGAAAATAAAATCCAGCGAATATACTTTTTTTCCCTATATTTCACATAATACTCATCCAAAATCAGTGAAAATAAATTCCATATAAAACGCCCAAAAAGCCATTTCAGCGAAAGTTAATTCCAGCGAAAATAAAGTATTCCACAGTAATTATCATTCAAATTAGAAAATTAATATTCATAGATTTTTACCCAAAACTAATCAAATCTGCGCACTAGTTCAGAGCATGTGCCAAGTTTCATCAAAATCCAATGAGTGGTTCTTCAGATATCAGTGGAACAGTCTTGGAACAGCTAAAAATCAGCTAATTATCATGCAAATTAGGTAATTAATATTCATAGATTTTTACCAAAACCTAATCAACTCTGCGCATTATCCCAGAGCATCTATGTACCAAGTTTCACCAAAATTTGATTAGTGGTTCTTGAGATAACGGTGGAACAAAAAAAGTGACATACATACATACATACATACATACATAGATACATACATACATACATACATACATACAGACATACAGACAGGGTAACTGCAAAGACTCCCTTTTGTGCTTTGCACACGGGAGTCAAAAATACCACCGCAATGAGGAATCTGAATCTGTTTTCTTACCAACAAATAAAATGAACAAAAGTAAGGTAATTTTATAACAAGAAAAGTTTCATTTCGTTTATAGCAAAATTGTGTTGTATCCAACAACAATTGCATCGTGTGATTTAAATTTATCACGATTTTCCTTGCAAGTTGCAGTCAATATGACACTCGTCACCTTGCCGATTGTAAGTTTTTGGTGCCCAATACTCGCAACACTAAAATAATTAAACAAGATAATCTTTTTAAAATGTCATTTTACTCTTGATCATATTATTTTATTCCCCTTGCCGCCTTGAATTTCAAATCGATTACATATATCGAACTTCTGTACATGTGTTTTTTTTCTCCACTGAAAATAATGAGGTCATACTCATGTCACAATACTTTGAAGCTGATGCCATGTTGATGCCATGAGACTGCGAAGCTGAGGCCACGATGATGCCACAAAATAAGCGAGGCGAACACAGCTTCAATTTTCACAGTGATGCGAAGCTGATGCCACAATGAAGCGATGTTGAGGCGTCTCTCACTCGAGTAGGATAGGCGCACTGACTCAGTACTGCCTCCTGCTTGACCGAAACCGCTCCTGCCAAGAGGGCAGTATGGACCTGCAGGATGTTGCACATAGCGACTGTCTGCGCAGCCAAAAGCTGGTCCATCTGGCTGAGGATCATGGTTTGTTGCTGAGCACTCAGGCGGCCAGAACTTAAATGGGCGAGTTGACACTCTGAAGCCAAGGAAACCCATTCCATAAATGTGATGTTCTGCCCGCAGCGCCTGATGCACTTGCAAGCTCAGGTGCCTGTCAAATGATCTGTGCAACCCGCCTTAACAAAGGCATGAGTACCGTGATCGGGCGGGAACCTGTGGAGGAGGTAGTGGCACAGAACGTGTATCCCAAACAAGGGACCGGTCGTCGGTCTGCGTAGCCCTGACTGCTCCCCCAACGCAAGGCATGGAACAGGACCGACCCAAAACCAGGATCAGTCTTCTTGTTCTTGTCTCCCAAAGGGTACCAATCACCCCTCTCCATCGCCCTCTGAGCCTCCTCCGCAGCCTGGGTCACACGAGGTGCCGGCAGTGGGAGAGGAGAGCACCGATAAAGTATTCAAAGGCCCAACGCGAAACAAAAGTCTCTCGCTAAGCACTGCCTGGTTTACTAGCTGCGTCCACAACTGCATATTGTTAAGAGTCAGAGCTTGGTTGGCTCTGTACCCTGTGCCTGTCCCGACAAGGAAGAATACATATACATGTGCAGTTATAATTAATACATTCAAAAACAATTTTCAAAATATAGCTGCATAGCAGCAATCACCCGTTTTCAAGACCATGGCACATGGCCAAGTCACATGCAATGCATGGCCATGTATGACTGTTTGCAATAGCTCTCAAAATTAACATTGGTTCCATGTTTGTATATGTGATAGTGTCCGAGATATTATAGCCATGCATATTTAATGCTTCCATGACCATATATAGTCATCGGGTATGTTTGTCAATTCTCTTGTCCAATGTCTTCAATATAGCATTGGTTCAATGTTCCTACTTGCAACAGTGCCTAGGATATTAGAGACTTGCATATTTAATGAGTTCTATGACCATATATGGTCATCGAATGTGTTGGTCAATTCTTTTGTCCAATGTCTTCAATATAGGTTTGGGTACATGTCTATACCTTTAAAAGTGATCGAGATATTATGGATATGCATATTTAATGAGTTCTATCACCATATATGGTCATCGAATATGTTGGTCAATCCTTTTGTTCAATGTCTTCAATATAATAATAATAAAAAACATAACAATTACAAAAGGTTTCCAAGACATGTGTCTTGAAAACCTAATAATAAAAAACATAATTACAAAAGGTTTCCAAGACATGTGTCTTGAAAACCTAATAAAAAACATAACAATTACAAAAGGTTTCCAAGACATGTATCTTGAAAACCTAAAAACGTAACGATTACAATAGGTTTCCAAGACATGTGTCTTGAAAACCTAATAATTTTGACAAACTTACTTTTTGTTTTATATGCAGTAGCTTTCTTTGAATATCTTTTTTTGTCGCTTGGATCAGGTGATTTACCAACTTTAGTCAGGTATACATGCAGGTATATAGAACCATTATTCATCATATTCTAATGATAAATGAGAAAAAACCTAGATCGAATGCTGTATCAAACTGTCACATAGTGAATTCAAATTGCCAAAACTAATCACATCTGTGCACCTGTACATTCAATGAATGGCTCTTTAGATATCAGTGGAAATGTCATGAAACAGCTAAAAATTAGCTAATTACCATGCAAATTAATATGCATGGATTTTAGCCAAAACCTAATCAAGTTTGTGCATCAGCCGAGAGTATCTTTGCATCAAGTTTCATTGAAAACCAACATATGGTTGTTGAGATAACAGTGGAATAGACGGACACACACACACAGACAGACATGCCGGTAGGCTGGTTGGCAATCCGCTCCGCTCAAAAAGCAAGCAACATTTTTTCGGCTGTTGTCACGGTAGAACATGAACATGAAGCTAACATTGGTTTATAACTAAAACCGAGTCTCGTATACGAAGTTCGCAAAAAAAACATTCAGTCTTTAGAAGTTACTTTATTTTATTAATAGGACGTATTCTGTTGTTAAATTTATTATTTCCAACTGTTTTGCGATAGTATTTTCTAGATTGAAAGCAGCATTTACAGTTCATTCAAAGTTGCATTGGGATTACGTTGATACAGTGTAACAATGTCGTCGCCAGTGATCTCTTACCAGGGCACAAAGTAGCCAAAATATAAAGCATGATCATTTGAACACTGCTATTACAAGACTGGTAGGAGGTAATAAATTTGGGGTGAAAGTATTCAAAAATCTTTTTTTTTTCAATTAGTGATGGCACAACCTGCCTGTCAAGTATGAACAAAACCAGCCAAGCCAAAAAAAAAAATCACAGAGTAGTTAAAAGCCGTTGCTGGTGAAAAGTTATCCCAACTTTCAGTTCAATTTTCTCTGTAATGAAAATAGACATAAAAGAAACAGTAAATTTATGCCCACACTCAAGCTGAGTAGAATGAGCTACGTTCGTGCTTTTTAATGTAGAAATGTAAGGTGAGATCCATTTGGCGCGAATGTATTAAAAAATTCATTTTTTTGGCTGTTGCCATAGAAATGGTGGGCCAGAATTATTTCAGATTTTACAACCTAACTAGAAGGAAGGTGCGACTTGCCTGCCAAGTTTTACCCAAATCGGCTCAGCCAAAAAAAAAAAATGGTGAACAGTTTGTAAGAGGAGATACATTTGGCGCGAATCTACCAAAAAAACAGTTTTTTGGCTGTTGCTATGGCAATGGTAGGCCAATATTTTTTTTCAAATTTTTTCTAATAACCAGGGTTAAGGTTAGCCTGACAAGTT